ACTTACGTAGAATGAACACTTTTACTGCCGTCTTCTTGGGAGTTTAATACCGGTAGTAACTTGAACTCAGTGAAGGGACTCGACTTTATCGTTGAGGCACTTAGACCATGGGAGTCAAATCACGCAGAAAGGGAACATTTAGTGTTTGACCAAGTGCTCCACCCCCCCTCCTCCCCTCCTCCTCCTCCCCCCCTCCTCCCCCCACCGACCTTCTGCATAATGGTTGAGGAGGACCATGGAAGGGTCTTGAAGGAGGGGGGGTGGTGGGGGGGTGTTAGTCATTAAACGAACCACCGGGGGTCGTTTAATGACCAACAACTGCAAAACAACAAGAAGGGAAAGGGAGGAAAGGGAAGGGGAGGAAGGAATGGTTAAGGGGTGAGATCTGTTGACGAAAACACATTGAAATCTGTGAAGTGTTTTGTTGATGTCTTGAGGTGGTGGTGGGGAGAAGGTGAGTCAGGATGAGGGGTATGGTGGGGGGTATGGTGGGGGAGGAGGTCAGGATGAGGTATGGTGGGGGTATGGTGGGGGAGGTAGGTCAGGATGAGGGGTATGGTGGGGAGAGTGATGGTGGAAGGAAGGTTGAAGGAAAAACGACTGTAAGCTTTTTTTATGAAGAGGAAAATAATGTGGTCATATTTAGAGAGGAGAGAGCGTTAATAGGACCACTGGCAGGTAATGAAAGGTGATGACTCTTCAACAAACTACCTGGTCACTCCTTACTTGTGGTGATTCCCGCCCAGTACTAAGCTTCTTTTCAAGGTTAGGTTAGATTACGTTAGTTTTATGTTAGGTTAGGTTAGGTTAGGTTAGGTTATTTAATCACCAGATGAAATAAGCAAGGGAGCTATTCTTCAGGTGATCCGACAACACTATCACTTCCCTCATAGCGAGTCACTGGGTGTAGTTATGGCTACAGGCACTAACAACCCAAACGACCTTAATGGGGTAGTTAGTGCCTTGTGGTGTAGCAATGACTCTCTACTACTGTTTATAACTGTGAGAACCTGAGGGGAGTGCTGGTGTGAGGGTGCTGGTGTGGGGTGCTGGTGTGGGAGGTGCTGGTGCGAGGGGGAGGTGCTGGTGTGAGTGCTGGTGTGGGGAGGTGCTGGGTGTGAGGAGGTGCTGGTGTGAGGGGGTGCTGGTGTGAGGAGGTGCTGTGTGGGGGAGGTGCTGGTGGGGGGTGCTGGTGTGGGGGGGAGGTGCACAACCTGCACCTCTGCCTTCCCCTCTGACCTACACCTCGACCACCACCTCACGACCCTACACCTCTGACCTACACCCACACGACCACCTCACGACCTACACCTCACGACCTACACCTCACGACCTACACCCACGACCTACACCTCACAACCTACACCCGACCTACACCTCGACCTACACCTCACGACCACCTCACGACCTACACCTCACGACCTACACCTCGACCTACACCTCACGACCAACCTCGACCTACACCTCGACCTACACCTCACGACCCACCTCACGACCTACACCTCACGACCTACACCTCACAACCTACACCTCACAACCACCACCTCGACCTACACCTCGACCACCACCTCACGACCTACACCTCACAACCTCACCTCGACCTACACCTCGACCTACACCTCCAGCCTACACCCACCGACCTACACCCCACAACCTACACCTCACCCACCACACCTCCGACCTGCACCTCGCCTGCCTCGACCTACACCTCCCCAGCCCTACACCTCACAACCTACCTCGACCTACACCTCACAACCTACACCTCACAACCCTACACCTCACGACCTACACCTCCCAACCTACACCTCACGACCTACACCTCACGACCTACACCTCACAACCTACACCTCACAACCCTACACCTCACGACCTACACCTCACGACCTACCTCACAACCTACACCTCACAACCCACCTCACGACTACACCTCTCAACCTACACCTCACGACCTACACCTCACGAACCTACACCTCACGAACCTACACCTCACGAACCTACACCTCCACAACCTACACCTCGACTTACACCTCGACCTACACCTCACGGACCACACCTCACGACCTACACCTCACAACCTACACACCAACCTACACCTCGACCTACACCTCCTACCTACACCTCCCGACCTACACCTCACGACCTACCTCACGACCTACACCTCACAACCTACACCTCACAACCCTACACCTCCCACAACCACCTCACGACCCACCTCACAACCTACCTCCCCACAACCTACACCTCCACGAACCTACCTCACAGACCTACAACCTCACAACCTACACCTCACCTACAACCTCACAACCTACGCCTCGACCTACACCTCCCACACCTCGACCTACACCTCCAACCTACATCTCACAACCTACACCTCGACCTACACCTCCCCAACCTACACCTCGACCTACACCTCGACCTACACCTCGACCTACACCTCACGAACTTACACCTCGACTTACCTCGACCTACACCTCCACAACCTACACCTCACAACCACCTCACGACCTACACCTCACAACCGACACCTCACGGACCGCACCTCAACCTACACCTCACAACCTACACCTCACAACCTACACCTCACAACCTACACAAGGGAGGCTAACACGACAGTCTCCCGGAAGCTGATAAGAGATCGATGTTACACCCAGAGAGATTGATCAGAAGGCGAGGATTTATCTGATCATGCTGGTCACCCAACTGCGGTCACTCAACTGCCGGTCACTCTACTGCTGGTAGGATGGGTGAATTGTAGCGCCCTTAGTACATTGCGTTTGGGTGACAGAGTGGGGGAGGGGGAGGAGGGTTCGAATGAAGGAGTGTCAGGGAGGAGTGCCAGAGAGGGGTGTTGTGAGGAAATGGCCAAAACGAAGGAGTGTCGGGGGGAGGGAGAGGGCAAGGGGGGTCTTGTAGGGAAGGGAGAGGGTGGGGAAGGTGTGGCTATAACGAAGGAGTATTTAAGGAGGGGGATGGGAGATAACCAGAACGAAGGGCATCTAGTGAAGGCGAAGGATGGACAACAAAATGAGGGGGAAGGGAGGAAGATGCCCAAATTGAGGGGAGGGGGTGAGAGGAGTAGGGGAGGAGGTGTTGAGGAGGAAGGAGTGCCGGAAGAGGGAGGAGGGTGCAACAGTCCAAGGTCATCGTCCTAAGCAGGTTCAGAGACGCGGCCACGCACCCCTGTTTACATATTGTTCATAGTGAGGCGGCGTACCTCATGGTAGCTCCTGACCCCTACATTGATTAGGGCTAATACTAATGAACACTATGCTACTACTACTACTACTTCTATAACTACTATTACTACAACTACTATTACTACTACTACTACTACTATTACTACAACTACTACTACTGTTTCCATTAAGTTTTGAGGAACACTTGTAGATTATCCTCTTCAGTTTACTTCATCGTAATATATTAAACACCTTAACGGTACCTGACGCAGATGGTTACAGTAGGTTAGGTTAGGTTAGGTTGGTTAGGTTGTTAATCTTAAGGTACAATAAGCTGGGGGCAGGTTAGGTTAGGTTGGTTAGGTTGTTAGATAGTTGTTAATCTTAGTACAATAAGCTGGGGGCAGGTTAGGTTAGGTTAGGTGGTTGGTTGTTAATCTTAGGTACAATAAGCTGGGGGCGGGTTAGGTTAGGTTAGTTAGGTTAGGTTAGGTAGGTTAGGTTAGGTTGAGTTGTTAATAGGTACAATAACTGGGCAGGTTGGTTAGGTGAGGTAGGTGAGGTTATTATCTTAAGGTACAATAAGCTGGGGGCGGGTTAGGTTAGGGGTTGGATAGGTTGGGTTGTTAATCTTAAGGTACAATAAGTGGGGGCAGGTTAGGTTAGGTTAGGTTAGGTTAGGTTAGGTTAGGTTAGGTTAGTTAGTTAGGTTGGTTGTTAATCTTAAGGTGCAATAAGCTGGGGGCGGGTTAGAGTTGGAGATTAGGTTAGGTTGGGTTGTTAATCTTAATGTACAATAAGCTGGGGGGGTTAGGTTAGGTTAGGTTAGGTTAGGTTAGGTTAGGTTGGGTTGTTAATCTTAAGGTACAATAAGCTGGGGGGCAAGGGTTAGGTTAGGTTAGGTTAGGTTAGGTTAGGTTAGGTTAGGTTGTTAATCTTAAGGTACAATAAGCTGGGGGGCGGGTTAGGTTAGGTTAGGTTAGGTTAGGTTAGGTTAGGTTGTTAATCTTAGGTACAATAAGCTGGGGGCAGGTTAGGTTAGGTTAGGTTAGGTTAGGTTAGGTTGAGTTAGGTTAGGTTAGGTTGTTAATCTTAAGGTACAATAATAAGCTGGGGCAGGTTAGGTTAGGTTAGGTTAGGTTGTTAATCTTAAGGTACAATAAGCTGGGGGCGGGTTAGGTTAGGTTAGGTTAGGTTAGGTTAGGTTAGGTTAGGTTGTTAATCTTAAGGTACAATAATAAGCTGGGGCAGGTTAGGTTAGGTTAGGTTAGGTTAGGTTGGTTGTTAATCTTAATACAATAGCTGGGGGCGGGTTAGGTTAGGTTAGGTTAGGTTAGGTTAGGTTAGGTTAGGTTAGGTTGGGTTGTTAATCTTAAGGTACAATAAGCTGGGGGGCGGGTTAGTCTTCAGTTTATCCCCAGACACAAGAGATGCAGTCATTAAGTGTATGAAGCAGCGTGAAATGCTTGACATGTCACACACAGGAGGCGTGTGTGTGTGTGTGTGTGTGTGTGTGTGTGTGTGTTGGTCCATCTGGTACAAAAAATTACAGTAAGACAGGTGTACTAAGGGGCCAAGCACCCCTACGCCAAAGTTTCCTTATACTGTTATACTTGACAACTGTGTCTCTGTGGCGGTAAAGAGTGTCTTTAAGGAAGGTTTGTAGTCACCATCAAGCACAAAGTTTGTATAAAAGTCCATCACCACCAATATTCCCCCATAACCTCTGTACTCTGCAGTGTACTCCCCGACCATCTACGAGTCATTGTCCTCTGCTCAAGCTACTACGCATCACTTGCAACTCACACTTCAATTTTTTTTCTCTCACTCCAAGCAGGAGTAAGGTTCCTTGCTATTGGTGGGTTCAAAGGGGGTTTTAATGTTAGCTTTGATGTCTGATTGGCTGGAGGAGTCGGTGACGTCACCTGTACGCTGCAGTGGCCGGAGAGGTTCATTGCACCCGGGCCTTTGCAGGATGCCTTGTTGAAACTTGTCTTCCTCTGCCTCTAACTCATTTTCCCCGTAATGACGACAATAATTATCTTCCTCGCCCTCATAGTTCACAGTCTAGTAGTAATATATACGAGAATAAAGAAAACCAAGGTGCTACAACTTACGGACAGTGGATAAGTACATTGCGTCCTGGTGAGTGTTGCCATCAAGTGGTCTTTGTTATGTTCGGGGAAGCCAGGAGGACATACGAGGCGATGACGTCACTAATTCTTCGCGTTGTTGTCGTTTTTTACCATTTCCTTCTCTGTCACATCAAATAAAACGTATTTGTTTTTGGTTTAATTAAAAATCGGATGTTTATTTGTTCCATACAGGGTGATATAATTAAATCTGACTTACTCTAAATGTACTGTCTTCCTGTTGGCTTCTGTTTATCGTAGCAGATTGTAGTGCAAGTCACAGGTGTACTATAGTGCAACTCATTATAACACGTGCGTTCCATTAACCACTACAGGTGCCTCCTTCCTCTCCTCCTTCAGGTAGGTCCTCACTACCACTCCTTCAGGTAGGTCCTCACCAACACTCCTTCAGGTAGGTCCTCACCACCACTCCTTCAGGTGGCCTCACCACCACTCCTTCAGGTAGGTCCTCACCACCACTCCTTCAGGTAGGTCCTCACCACCACTCCTTTAGGTAGGTCCTCACCACCACTCCTTCAGGTAGGTCCTCACCACCACTCCTTCAGGTAGGTCCTCACCACCACTCCTTCAGGTAGGTCCTCACCACCACTCCTTCAGGTAGTTCTTCCCAGAAACGTAGAATATATTTAACCAGGTAAGGCTGGGGATGTGAGGGCACTGCCTGCCCTCTCTGGTGAAGGGCACTGCCTGCCCCTCTCTGGTGAAGGGCACTGCCTGCCCCCTCTGGTGAAGGCCACTGCCTGCCCTCTCTGGTGAAGGCCACTGCCTGCCCTCTCTGGTGAGGCACTGCCTGCCCTCTCTGGTGAAGGACACTGCCTGCCCCCTCTCTGGTGAAGGGCACTGCCTGCCCCTCTCTGGTGAAGGACACTGCCTGCCCCTCTCTGGTGAAGGGCACTGCCTGCCCCTCTCTGGTGAAGGGCACTGCCTGCCCCTCTCTGGTGAAGGCCACTGCCTGCCCCTCTCTGGTGAAGGCCACTGCCTGCCCCTCTCTGGTGAAGGACACTGCCTGCCCCTCTCTGGTGAAGGGCACTGCCTGCCCCTCTCTGGTGAAGGACACTGCCTGCCCCTCTCTGGTGAAGGGCACTGCCTGCCCCTCACTGGTGGAGAGCACATCCCGCCCCGTTCCTTAAAATACGGCTATAAATTTCTTCAGCACCGTGAGATAAATACTACGCCTGATTTTCTTCTTCAGTTGTAAGTAAGAAGTGAGTCACCTGCTGTAGGCTCGACTGTTCATCAGGGACAGTCTGGATATGACCTTCAGTACACAAGGAGACAACAGCGGCGCTACACTTGGTAACCTTCACTCCCTCAAACTATAAGGTACCCATTTACAGTTGGGTGGAATAGGAATGCCCCGGGATCGAACCAGCGGACACTATTTTACATCCAGTTATTGATTTATTATTCTTTAGCGCGGCGGACGATTGGATACAGTACTCGCCTCCCGTTCGATTCCCGGGCGCCCCCAGATTCACCCAGCTTTGACTGAGTACCTACAGTAAATTAACAACTTGGGGAGTGATTACGACCCCATTGTGGTATATAGAACCCACTTTTATCATAGTTTACCTTATTTTTCTTTCTTTTCTTGTTTTTATCTGTTTATTTGGCTGTTTTGTCTCTGTTATTCTTTTTCTCTTATGTAATTTATACGTCAATGTTATCAATATAGTTGTTAAGAATCTCTCTCTCTCTCTCTCTCTCTCTCTCTCTCTCTCTCTCTCTCTCTCAGCACCTCGGGTCATCATCCAGGGGCACGTGATTTCCTCAGCAAAAAACAAAGAAAGGAAGCCACCTTCTTGACTCACCCCCTCCACATCTTCTCCCACGCCATTTTCTACACCTCCCACGCCACCTATGCCCTCCCCACACGCCCTCCTACACGCTCCTCATATCTACTCTCCCAACGCAACCATTTCCTCATGCCTCCCACGCCCTCCCACGCCCTCCCACGCCGCTTTCATCACTCCCTTAAACTGTTCCTGGGAAGACCTTACTTAATTGAGGGCAGTTGGAGCTTAGTGGAGGAGCCAGTCGTGTGTGATACAGGGATCTCTCTCTCTCTCTCTCTCTCTCTCTCTCTCTCTCCCCTAGTAGCCGGAGCCATAGTTAGACCGTTAGCGACACAATACAATATCGCTAGCCATCGTTTAGACAAGGTAGGGGGAGGGTTTATCCGATCGCCAGGCCTTCACTTGCCATGGGTAGCAATTGCGGTAGCTGACTGTAACTTGATCAAATCCTCAAACAAAATCTCAGTCTTGATCAAATAACGTGATCAAAAATTCTCAGAGTGTGTCTTGATCAAATCCTACCTAACCCTGATCAAATACTCAGTGTATAGCTTGATCAAATCCTACCTAACCTGATCAAATTCTCAGTGTATAGCTTGATCAAATCCTACCTAACCCTGATCAAATACTCAGTGTATAGCTTGATCAAATCCTACCTAACCCTGATCAAATTCTCAGTGTATAGCTTGATCAAATCCTACCTAACCCTGATCAAATTCTCAGTGTATAGCTTGATCAAATCCTACCTATACCTGATCAAAATCGTAGCTCGTGTCGTAGAGTTGATTTTTAATTAATAAGGTGAACTGGTCGACTCAGTCCCCAAAGGTGTTAAAATTCTGACCATGGCGTGGTGACAGGGTATTGATCTACACTTGTCAGGCTGTTGGGTTGGTGCTTACGGTCAGAATACACTCTTACTATAATGACTTAACCACCTGAAAATTTTTTGTTGAAGTAGTAAGGTTTGTTAAGAGGTGTGGTTGTTTACTATCATCATTACGAACGACTATATCACCATCATCATCATCACCACTACCATCATCACCACCACTACTACCACCACTACCACCACCACTACCACCACCATAGTTTATTTCGTCTGATGATTTAACCTCTGGGATGGGGGGTAGTTAGGGTTAGATTAGGTTAGATATTTTAGCTTTAGTTAGCTTTAGTTAGCTTTAGTTAGTTAGTTTACATTGAGTTATGTTAGCTTAGACTAGGTTTATAGGTTTTGTTAGCGTTAGGTTAGATTACGTTAGGTTTTGGTTATGTTTAGGTTAGGTTACGTAACGAGACAGCCAGCAGCAACACCCGGATATAAACGTGACCACTGAAGCTAAGGAGGTCATTATATTTCACCTATTGTTCCTTGTGCTGTGTTTATAAAGTCCCTTGATGTTGGTGTTTATAAAGTCCCTTGATGTTGGTGTTTATAAAGCCCTTGATGTTGATGTTTATAAAGTCCCTTGATGTTGGTGTTTATAAAGTCCTTGATGTTGGTGTTTATAAAGCCCTTGATGTTGGTGTTTATAAAGTCCCTTGATGTTGGTGTTTATAAAGTCCTTGATGTTGGTGTTTATAAAAGTCCCTTGATGTTGATGTTTATAAGTCCTTGATGTTGGTGTTTATAAAGTCCCTTGATGTTGGTGTTTATAAAGTCCCTTGATGTTGGTGTTTATAAAGTCCCTTGATGTTGGTGTTTATAAAGGCCCTTGATGTTGGTGTTTATAAAGTCCTTGATGTTGGTGTTTATAAAGGCCCTTGATGTTGGTGCTTATAAAGTCCCTTGATGTTGGTGTTTATAAAGTCCCTTGATGTTGGTGATAAAGTCCTTGATGTTGGTGTTTATAAGTCTTGATGTTGATGTTTATAAGTCCTTGATGTTGGTGTTATAAAAGTCTGTTGGTGTTTATAAAGTCCCTTGATGTTAGTGTTTATGTAACTCTCTCTCTCTCTCTCTCTCTCTCTCTCTCTCTCTCTCTCTCTCTCACGGCAACAAGACCCACCGGAAACATCTCCCCAGGGGCTAAGTGGTCACCCTGGGGTACTCCTCTTGTCTACGCCATTGGTTATCCTCAACACAGAACTTGACCGAGAGGTGAAGGTCATGCTGGAGGAACTTTTTGTAGAACATGAAGAACAATGATAACAATAACATGAATGTGAAGAGCAAGGGGAAGAACTATGAAGAATAGAAATAATAACAATAACAACAAAAAAACAAAAGACATTAATATGAAAAAAAAAGAAAGAACACGGGGAAGACTTTGATGAAGAAGAACAATAACACAATAAATATAACAACAACACAGAAGAAAGATTTTTTAGAAGAACAAATGGAAAAGAACAAGAACAAGAAAGAAAAATCACAAACAAAAAATAAAAAATAGGCAAAACAGACGCAAAGAAAAGAAAAGAGAAAGAAAAGAAGAGGAAAGAGAAAGAGAACCACTAACAGCTGTGAACGAGGTGTTACCAAGGTGAGTATTGATAGACGAACAACACCATCCACTATTACAGGTTATAGCCTAATAAACGTATTGACTGGGGCTAAAAGTCAACCAGTCACAATATATAAGAATAACATGTAGGAATTTTATATGTGACTCAGAGAATACCTTAGGTGTTGTGTTGGAGAAGGAGGGTGTGTGTGTGGGGGGAGGTACGGTGTGTGGGGGTAGATAGAAAGTGTGTGTGTGTGGGGAGAGAGAGTGTGGGGGAGAGAGAGAGTCTAAATCTGATCAAGCCTACAGTCCACCCATCTAGCCCTGACCACCAACGACACTTCCATTGTTTTGATGTGTTTCTGTACCTGTGTGTGTCTGTACCTGTGTGTGTGTGTGTCTGTACCTGTGTGTGTGTGTGTGTCTGTACCCGTGTTAAAATATTTCACCTCCTCTTCTTTCTCTCCTCTTCCTCCTCCTTCACCCCAGTTCCTCATCTTACCATTTCGTCTCCTTCTTCTTCCCCTCCTCCTCTTCCTGCCCCCTCCTCCTACTCCTCCTCCTCCTACCCCCTCCCCTCCTCCCTCCCCCTCCTCCTACTCCTCCTCCTCCCCCCCTCCCCTCCTCCTCCCTACCCCCTCCCCCTCCTCCTCCCTACCCCTCCCCTC